GAAAAGAGAAGAAAAAGAAAAAAAGGCAAGGGGGGGGGGGGGGGTGGGGTGGAAAGCAACAACCTATTTTGAAAATTAAAAGTTTTCTCCCAGGCCAGTACCAGGATTCCAGCATGAGATGCCAAAGACCTGTAACAATCGGAGTAGCCGGTTCTAAAACTATCCAATGAATGCATATATATGTTAGAGCACCTGGCAAAAATTAAAGCCCATCTATGGCATACGGATGTTAATATTACATATGTGCCAAATACATTATACAATTTATGTTTTACTTTCCTCAAAACAGGCTCATTATTTGCCAGTTATGTTTATGACTGTATGTACCATTTGGAGAAAATACTGGGCTTTGAACAGCTGTGTTAGTTCTTACAAATGAAAATGTTGGGATGTTCACAGATGATGTTCTAAAACATCTGGTTATGTGACGAATAGTATGCAAATTAATGCATATTTGGATTGAAGGAACAGGCCCGAAATCCAGTTTTCTTGGTTGACAGTTCTAGAGCAAAAGACATTTGAGAATAATTTGTCACACTTTTTTTTTAAGGAAAATAATAGTGTGAATTATTATATTCCTACTTCTCGTAAAATATCACTTACTTGAGTCTTAGAGTTACTGGCCTCCAAAGATTTGATTTATTAAAAGGAGTGTTGCAAGTAAAACAAGGGAGACATGGTTTCACTTGTGATAAAATTTAAAGGATATGTAATTTTTTCTGAAGCTACTGGGAAAATAGGCTACTGCTATTCAGTGCTGTAAATTTGTCGGGATTAGAAGTGATCCAAAACCAGTGTTATTTATTGAGCATAACATGGTTTCTTCTGCACATGTTAGAGGAATGTTCTGACTCTGTGAGTAGGTCTTCCTCTGTTGAAAACTGTAGCCTTTAGCAATTATCTGTATATAAAAATGCTGATTTTATCCAGGCCTTTCCAGTAGTTTTACACTTGACTTCTGTTTGTGGTGCGTTAGATGCAGAAGACTGAATTCTATTACGATACCTGGGGCTCTGAGGAGACTGGTTAGACGGGAGCCTGACAACCATTAGGGTATGCCGATCTACTGAACATCTTCAGTACAGGCTCTTCCTTTCTCATCATGCCCCACTGGCTTTTTTATCTCGTCTGTCCAAGATAGGACTGCAAAGTCAGAATCAGAGCCCTTCGGTAGATTTGGCATCTTTATAGCTGATGGGTAGCTGAGATTTTTGAATGCTGTGTTACAAAACGGGATGCCTAAGCTAATTTTTGCTTGGCCATATCAGTCCCACTTGTTGCCTCCAGACTCTTCAGACGTATTGTACTTCAGTTTTGCAAGAAGCTGACTAGGAAACAATTCATGAAGGTTTGTGTAGACACCTTATTTATATGCCACGCACCTGTCCAGAGCTGTTAATTGCCTTCTCCCCTTGCTTGTAGCTACCCTTCCTCATACTTCTCCCCTGATTCAGGAGGTAAAATCCTTAGGACTTTAATTTTATCATCAGATGAGTGGTCCCTTTGAATGCTGTTTGCCTTATTGTATGTTGCCTATCACTGAAGTCCCTACTATTGGCTTAAATGATGGGAGAGTCAAGCCTTGGCAAACCCTGTTTTTACTATGTTTACTAAGAACAAGGTCATTCTCAGGCCTCCTCTTAAATTCTTATCCAAAGTTGTCCCAGTTCCAACCCATTAACCTCCTAATTTCCTTTCCCAGTCCTCATTCAACCCCAGGGAAAGGTAAATGTCACACATTCAATATAGTGTGAATTCTGTGTTCTGCATAGATGAGGAAGACATTTGGAAATGCTCTTCTCTGCAAATACTCACAAGTGGTTAAGGTTATAGCTCAGATATTGTCCTTATAGGTTATCTGGGAAAAAAGGAGTGTTCACCTGAGGAGGAAATATGGATTTAACCTGTTTGTGTAATCTTACCTTGTTATGTTGGAGTTTCTTCCAGTAAAGTTTTGTATGGTCTATGCTGACTATTTGGAAAATGTCCCATTTTTTAATCTCCCAAGCAGTTATGTGATGGTTTATCCATACCTGTACTTTTGTATTATTTAATTCCTTGATCATGAAGAAATGCTGTCTTCTTTATACAGTTTTTCTGATTACCCTGCTCCCCTGGTTTTGCACAGCTTTGGAACATCCTACGTGTGGCTATGCTTGCCCTTTTCTTTCATGCCCATTCTCGCCTTCTCAATCATTTGAATCTGCAGGAAAAGCATTGAGTAATTCAGCTTTCTTCAAAAAAATGGTGCAAGATCTGCAAGGTAGTTTAAAAGACAAAAGAAGTAGGAGAGAAAATGACATGGTTAACCATAGGTGTTTTAAGATCTTTTCCTGAGACTTGACTCGGATGTAAAGTTTCTTCTGCTTAAATTGATGTCTGCTAGTGTCAGGTATTAAGACAAAATATTTCTTCTTTATTTGTAATGGGCTTAAATGCACAGATTGTTTTAAAGGGTAGTATACAATAATTAAGCAGGTTTTAAATTTTCAGGAAATCTCTCTTCCTTACAATTGTATATCCTCTAAAGACCTTTCAGTGTAAGGATACAGTTTATACTCAGCATACAGGGAAATGTACAACCATGACTTTTGGCATACAAAAGAACCACGCTCAGTTCAGTTCAGTATTTCAGTTTAGCATAGCTGGCTTTTACAGATGTTTAAACAATTTTCACTGAGATTTGACTGTCATTTTGAAATGCAGCATAACTGAATAATTTCTTTAAATTGCTTGACCCTTTTAGAGAAATATTTCTGCTTCTGCTTTGCCCAGTATGTTTCACTATAGAACAAATTGTTAAAATAGCAGACTGTGCTGCTTTCCAGGTAGCATGATTGCTGTGCCGTGTTGTTTACAAGTAGGCTAAAGCTTTTGAAAACTAGTTCAGAGTTTTGATTCAAGGCGAAAATGTTTCTTGTTCTTCTGTACTGATGTACCCATAAACGTTACTGATAGAAAATTTAAATTAGATTAAATGTTTAAACAGAGGTTCCTCTCTTTTGCTTTCAGGAACACACTTGTGACACTTCTCATACTGATCTAATTTTTTTTTTTTTTTTCTTTTCCTGATAGAAGGGTCAGTCTTCTGAGGGAACTGATTGCACCTTTGAATGAGCTATCAAAATGCTATGTATGAGCTTCAGAAAGCAAATCTCTGCTGACTGAATAGGCTTATTTATTGCTTACAGCCTGCTCTTGACTCAACAGAAAATTATTTAACACTTGCAACCAAAACTGAAAGAATTCCATACTTCAAAACTGATCCACCCCACAGCCCCCTTCATTGTAAGCCAGTTTCTTACAGGGGGACACCCCCTAACCACCACCCCCCTTCCCTAATTGACTTAACCAAGCCCCAGCAGGACCGATAATCCTTCACATCAGAGTCAGGAAAATTCAGAAATCTGATTGTGTTCGTCCTTGATGAGATGTTTTCCTTTGAGGTAGTTTCAGTAACAAAAAAACCCACGTTTTTCTTCTCATCCTCAAGGGACGTCAATTAATTTTTTAAAAGATAAGCCTGGAAACTAAAATTCCTACCCCTCCTAGAAATGGAAAAATCTTAGCATTAGTAGCAATGTTCATGTAGCCTGTTGCAGTCCTTGTCCCACTGCTCGAGGGTGTGCCGTTAGCTGCGTGGGGGGCATGGATCGCACGGGAAAGGGGGATTCCACGCAGACTCTGCCTCCTCCCCTCCCACGCTGCAGGTCCAGGTTTCGAGGCTGAAGCCCGAGCCGGGATGGGAGAGGAGAATCCGGCCTGGCTTGCGCTCGGGAGTGCTGGGGCTCCTGGGGAGCTGGGACCGGGGCCGCAGGCAGCTGTAGCCTGTGATGCTGAGCAGCAGGGGTGACCCAAAGGGACGCTTCCAGCTCAGCCTTGAACATAAGCACTAAAACCTCCTTCTGCCATCTTTCTAAACTAGCTGATTAACATAATAAAGTTAAACCAAGAGTCATTATTTCTGAGTTGTTAGTTTTTAATCTTAGTTTACTGCTGGTTTGTGTGGCCTGCACCGTGTGCCCAAGAGCTTGCCTGCATTTTTCAATTACATCAGCTTGTTTAATAAATATTACCTCTTGAACTTCTTGTGTGCTCTTTAACTTTCAGAGCCATAACAATATTATTATTTGAAGTAAAGCAGGATAATCGTAGTGGTTTGGGGATGTTTTACTTTGAGAGAAAGAAAATAATGAACCTTTAATGTGGTCTTTTTTCCTGCAATGGCAAAACTTAAAAAGGAAAAAGAAAACCCTTCCTTGAAAAAGGATTAATGAAAGTAAAACAGCCATCTTTCTGTCAAATGCTGATATTGAATTTATACGCTCGGCTGCTGTTGGAAGAGTGTGTTCCCAGTGCAGGTAGTGAGGGATGAGCGTAGTTCTGCGTAGTCGGTGTTTCTGTGTGTTGCGGTGGGGTTTATTCCCTGCGCCTTCATTTGAGGTTCCTTCTGTTGTAGCTCAGATACTCTGCCCAGAGCCTTTTCGACTACATGAAGAAAATCCAGAATGATTATAGAGCTATGGAGACTTTTTGTGAGACGTTGCTAAAGGTCTTTGAGGACAACCTGCGGACTGACCGGTAATGTTTTTCTTTTGCTTTTTTATCTTCAACAGCAGGACTATTTGAAGTCAGACATATGGCACATCTTTTTTAATATGCCTAGATGAAGTTTGCCTGAGCCATGTAAATTTGCTTTAATACGGCTGTTTTTTACCTTTGGTAAAATGTGTAACAAAGGAGTGACGGTAGAATATATTGCATTTACTATAGTTTAATATTGCGTATAATGTGGTAAGCACCAGTTTTTATCTAACGCAATGTTGGAGATTGTATATTGCTGCACACTTTTCAGTGTAGTCCAGTCTGCGTTTGGTTTAGGTAGTGTTTTTTCACAAATACTTGAAGTATAATTTTCTTGTTAAGATTTTTCTTTAAAGGTGACTCATTCTGCATAATGAGATTAATTTTTCTAAGCCTCACTTATGAAACATGTGCAAACAGAAAATATTCCCTAGGGGAGAAAAACCCCACAACTATTAATAGAATTTTCAGGTTTATTTTATTTTTATTTTGTTTCTTGTATCAGCTGTTGACATAGAAAACATGACCACAGTTATTCCAGCTCACACATCGTGTGTTGGTTCATTTGGTAATTACCTGTAGTGAGAAGGTGGTGTAACTTCTGATACATTTTGTGGAATATGTTGTTTATATACTAGAAGATAAATTAATATTTTCTACTACTGTTAATTGTGTTTTCAGGACCCTGCAAGTTTAAACCAGGCATGTTGTTAATTAGGTTTTTTCCTTTTGGCTGTAATGGAATGTCCCCCTCTCAGCCAACGAGGATGATTTAGCCAACACACAGAAGTTACCGAGCAACCCTCCTCTGTGTAAATTAGAGTTCTAATTTAAATATGTGTAGGTAGATAGGAAGTTTCTTTCTTGGCTTCTAATTAAAAATAGTGTATATATGTATGCCAAGAAGTGTATTTACATTGTTAAATTATTTTTTCATCAGGGTGTCTGTACCTCTCCTGACAATGCTGGACCAAATGCTGGCAAACGGCTGTTTTGATATATTTACCATGCAAGAGAAGTAAGTTGCGGAAAGTCTTTTTTGTTTCTTTTCCACCATGCAAGGGGCCTCTTAAATGTTATGCTGACTGCTGCTGAATGTTGTTCTAGATGTGGGTGCGTAGGACTCTTAAGTGTGTGTCTATATGGATATAATGTTTGAATTTTCCTGAAGCGGGGCAGCTGTGATAAATTCTGGACCAGACAGCCTTGAAATCTTGATAAGATCTTTGACTCTCATATCAGTGTAAAAGTTGGTTATTGGTTCATTGTTTAACAACCAGAACATGAATCAAATTCAATTTGCATGTTTCACCTGGCAGACTTGGGCCAGGACCAGATCCATTTTGCTCCTTTCCTTTACTGGCTTCCCAAACGCATGCTTTTTGGAGTACATTCTTCACTGTACTGTGAGCCTTTAGCAAGGGCAGTGTCCTGTTGTGATGCTGCAAAACAGTGTGCCTCCAAGCTATTGCTTCCAAAACCCCACTGCTTTTGTTAATGTGAATATCTCCAAAGTAGTTAATAAAGATTCTAATAAGAATAATAAAAAAGGCATGTCCCAGCTTTTCCACACCAAGTTCAGTCTTCTGGAAAGTGTTTAGTTCAGGAATGGATAAACATGAATAACATGTTCCAATGTGAAGATAAGTTTTTTTGCAGATGTTTCAGAAGAGAATGATTTTAATTTTAGTAATATTAAAATATATTCCACAAACTCTCACAGACAGCATCTTGGCACATCTACAGATATTTGCAGAACTGTTCAACATGAATCCTACGAGCACATGTACTGGATTTGGAATCTGTTGATTCAAGAATTGCTTACAGCAGATTAATTTGAAAAGCTTTTATCTCTCTGAAAGTTTTAATTGAGTCTACTCTTGTTTTCAAGTGTGTATTTAGATAATCTCTCTTAAATTTGGCAGTCCCTTTTTGAATGGGAATTTAAACTGAGTCAAGTACTCACAGATGGAATGAATATTATTTGTTCGGTTTGGTAATCATGCCAGTGATTTGGGACTTCCACATAGGCTCCAGTCTTCCCTGCTGGGGAAGATGATAGATTATGGGTGGAAATCCCAGGTAAAGTCTGTGTCGCCCACATCATGGGTCACTAAACAGAAAGCATGTGGTAGCATCACTGCGTTGGCTGTGTAAGCGAGACTCAAACTCAATCCTACGGTGCCATTGTAATGCTTTATTTAAAAAGGCCTGAAATAAAATCCAGGGGGATTATGGGGGGAGGGAGGAAAGATTTTGAAGCCGATCCAAATGTATTTGCTTCCAGTTTGATGATGAAACCAAAAAAGAAAAGTAATAATTATACGGCTGAGTGGATCATTCTCATGGCGAGGGAATGAAATATTGGCAAGAAGTGCAAGAACTCATTATCATATGAAAGCTCTGGAAGGCCAGAGCTCTAGAAAGTTTGAAGATAGCTAGGAAGAGACAGAGAATTTAGTTCCTGTGTGTGACAGTTTTTTGGTAATACAGGTACCTTATGGTCGAGATGCAATCATGAACAAGTTACTGTGTGCGCTGCACGGAGAGCCGGCTGAGCCTGACGTGCTGGCTCCTGCTGAGCTCCAAGAGCCTGCGTGCAGGTCGGCTGAACGGGGCAGATGGGTGAGCCCCAAATTATATTTAGTGCAATGTTTGCATTTTCTTACTTTGGCATATGTCATTGGGGTATAGTTAGGGATGGATAAACACCGATACTGGCTCCGAGGCCTGCCCACCTGCACTGTTGGATGCCACCTACCACTTTTTGCATAGAAGAAAAGTGTGACTTTGGGCCTGGTTTCTTGAGTGGGACCATTTACACCCTTTTCAAAGAAGCTTGCCATAGAAGTCTAGAAATACAATGCAGAATGAGCCTGAAAATTGAGATGCTGTGCTGGGGGCTTGAAAAGGCCATGTGTGCATGCAGATTCAGATACTTTTACATAAAGTGTGCCTGTGATAAGAGGGATGAGGTGCATGGTTGTTTTTAGAAAACAGTCAGTCTTACTGCTGGTGAGCAACTTTCCCATTGCTTCTGTTCTGCTGTGAACTTCTTGCTTGTCATGTAGCAAATGAAAAACATTTTGAAGAAGCTGGGAATGAAACTTTAGCTTTCCTTGGGGTGTTTGGCTCCCATTTCGTTTCCTTCCCTCACGTTGTACCACATTGTGCCGAGTGGAGTTTTAGCAGCTCAGGTTGTAGGATGTCTGGCATCAGGCTTATGCCTGCGCCAGCCACCTAATAGTCAACTGTCACATTATAAAAAAGCAGTTGCAAATGCATTTTGAAGTTTCAAATGGATACTGTGCACTATCCTGGACCTTTTTTTTCCTAGTAAAACATTAGCAGTCCAGAGCAGGTAATATCCTACACTGCTTAATTTAAACAGGATTAATAGCTGTTGGCTGAATTAGTTTGACACTCGCTAGGAGCTCAGCGCTCCTGTTAAAGCAAATTGCCACATGGTGTCACTCCTGTACCGCAGAGGCATAACCCGTGGTGCATTTTCCTGCCTCTTCACACCGTACAGCCCATAAAGTTCAGAATACGCAGCTTGACATTTCTGGTGTAGTTCTGTAGATGAATTCTCTCTATGGCTGGTCTTCTGATCCCTGTGCAGGCGGGCAAGTGGACCACTGGGTGTTTCTCCTGCACTATCGTATTGTGAATGCTTGTGTTCCAAGTGAGATCCATTTGTCACGCGTGGGTCGTTTCTCTGCCAGGGCCCTGCTGACCCTGCCAGCAGGGAAGTGAAGTGTAGGGTAAATACCTCTCCAGTGGGGTTTGAAATGAATCAACTTTAGTATCGCCGGGGTAATCAAAAGGCTATCAGAAGCAGCTTTTCTTTGTTGTGCTTGGCTTAGGTTGAATCAGTAGTATGAAAAGAAAAGCTCTGCCTGCCATTTTCTAGGCTGTTACTTCCTGCTCATCTGAAGCTGGCATAAACCTGCGTGTCCGGCATGAGAGGTTCCCCCTCCCTTGAACTGGCAGGAATGGTTTGGATCGCTACATGATTTAAGTGGCATTAGAGAACTGTTCCTGGTTAAAAATATCCTTTTTCCAGTAAAAGTCAGCTTGAGGTAGTTCCTCGACGCATTCTGCTGCGTGCTCGCAAATTGTGCCAAAATAAGTAGGGAAGTGGGGGGTGGAGAAGTAGGGGAAAAGTTTCTTCTGGCAGCAGTGCAGGTGTATGCTGGCCTAAAGCCTTTGTGAACTGCAGTGTCATACACCTGCCATTGCCTCCCTGCCCTGTGTGCCCTCCCGTCCCAAACAGGCCGGTAGTTTCAGTCGAAACGTAATCTCTGCTCCGTGGTAGCACAACTCAAAACCTCATGATTTCATCTTTGGTGTACATTGTGAATTTGTGGAGCCATATTTGTAACAACATAGGGAGAGAGACTGCTGGAAGCAATGGGCACCACGCTTGAAACAGAGCTGTCATAAATAAAGCAGAGTGTATTGGGCTTTTTTAAACTCACCGGTGGCTACTCTTAAAAGCTACTGGTGTAACCGTCAGCTCCCCGCCGGTAGTGGGACAAGGAATAGGGAAAAAAAAGGAGAGTGAACTGAAGCCAGTTGCGAAAGTGGCACTGGAGCGTTGTTTTCTGGTTCTGGCTCCTGTAGCTGCAGGAGTCACCCTGCCGGTCTCCTGAGTGAGGGATCACCAGAGGCGTTCCCTCTGCCAAGAGCCCAATAGACTGCTGGTTCCTTCGAAAGTACGGTAGGATTGGTCTCCTAACTCGGTACCATGTGAACAGAATAGCCTTTGGATGACAATTCAGGATCTAATGAGTAATTTCTGGAGTAATGCGTAAAAGTGGCGTTTCTCTTTCCTATGTGTATGTATTTTACATATTCAGAGAAAGCGTTCATGCATCGTGTATATATATAGTATTTCTCTGGTGGTCTCGCAGTGTTTTAAGATGGTATGTGTCCCCACTGCTCTCCAGCTAATGATTTCTATGTATTACATGCTCCCATGGATTTTTTTAAAAGCAATTACAGTGCTGTTGCATAATAAACCATAAAGTGAAGAGCAGGGCGATGGCCGTCCTCTGGTTTCACGGCCACCCCAGGTGATGTCAGCTGAACTGCTGAAACTCCGTTCACCTTTAGGAGGAAAAAGCCTGCACCTTTTTGCAGTACCGCGTGCGCCCGATTTACATAATGTAAAGACTTTCGACTGATCCCTTTTCCCGAGATGCCGACTCTGTTTCTGCTGGCACTGTGCCCACACAGGAGAAGGAATTTTCTCAATTTCCTTTAAAGAGGCCAAGCTATTTGAGTCATTTGAGATCACACATAGGTTAGGTTTAGTTATTACAAATGTGGAATTGGCAAATGACAGAAAGGAAGGTGCATCTGTTTTAAACACAAAACGCTGCACATGAGGTTACGTGTATAAAATTTATTCCAGATGCTTTTGTTCCAGTTGGTCTCTTTGTTGCTATACTTCTGAGCGGTGTCCCTGTTGTTCAACCAATTTAAAATTCACCTAATTCACCGTATTGCCGTTCTTCTGTGCTGAAAGCCAGGCATGCATTGCGGGTATTGTAATTAGTTGTCTACACAATGTCTTTGTGTGACTGGGGGTGGGAGGAGGAGAAATTCCACCAAGGTAAGAAAAAACATACCTCCTCTTGGTATTAAGCGAGCAGATACGCTCTTCCCTCATCTGCCCAGACAAATCCGTGTCTGTAGACACACACGCCGACTCATTCATGCACATGTCAGTCATTCTCACAATGCCTCTCCTGCACACGTGCTTTCCATGCTTATCATACCCCTTAAAATGTGGAAACAGTGCTGACGTGACTGCAAGCAACGTATGGCAAGGAACTTGCTCTTGCAGCATCTCGTGGAAGTATTTTAAATCGGCCCTCCCCAGACTCTTCGGACCCGAAAGCCACTATCAAGTCCGAAAACGTCTTGCAAAGCCTCAATATCAACATTGAAAACCTGGCAATTTTTACTCTTTTAGTGTGGTTTTCTGGA